TTTTTATGCCCTGAAGGGGCTTGCCAAAGACCTTTAGATTTTCTGTGGCCAACGGACTTCCATCAGACTAATTGAAAATAAGTCGTTTGTTTGTGTGTGTGTGTTGTAACTTCTGAAAATCTGGGGTCGTGATCAGTCATCATCAAACTTTTCGCAAGTATGACCGAAGTCATCGTCGTTCAACACATCAACGCTGGAGCTTCAAAAGTGGTGCTGCGTTGGCCGAATATGCTCGAAAAGGAAAGTTCAATACTTCTCGGCTTTGTCGCAGGATAAATCTGGAGTTGGAAGATGTTCCTTCGCATTCGAAAGTGTGGCAGTTGAAATGGACCACCAACCTCCAAACTTCGTTTGCAGTCAGGTGCACAAAACGAGAAGTGTACTTGAAGCTACTCAGGTGAAACTCGCCATTCGATAAACATCGTTTGGCTCAAGGTTGCGCGGAGAAAAGGATCCGTGCAGCACCACACGACACACCCAACCTTCCCTAGGTTATGAGCCCAAAGACGGGCTGGTAGAGGTAGAAGTCCACCTCACTTTTTTGTGGGTCGTTGGTCCCCATGGAACAACATCGACGACGCAAACAGCAGCGCTCCCGTGAAAGGAAGGAGGAAGCTGCTGCCAAGGATGCTGCTGCCAAGGATGCTTCAGCTGCCTTCAGGGAACCCTCGACGAAGCCCCTGGAGATTGGTGCCGCTGACCGGAGGCTGGACGCTTTGATCGAGGAAGAAATTCGATCGAGGGCTCGTTCTGTGCCAGCTACGTCAACGACCGCCGAAGTGAAGCGTTTGGGGAGCTCTATGGCTGCTTCGTTGGGCCCTCAAGGACCTCCGGTGACCTACCATCCACCACACCCTGCACAAGAACAAGTACACCAATTGGTGATGGATCCTAGGGGACAGTCGATGGGTTTGGGGCATCTCCAAGAAGCGGTGCGCCACTCGTTTGAAGTTCTGCAGAACGCACTACGAGGACCTCAACAACCGGGTCCAACTCTACTTGATCCACTCCTTCGCCAAGCTGATCAGGGAGTCCCTCATGCGCACGATCATGGAGGTCCTCCAGGGCATGCGTTGGCGGCTGGAACCCCGGTCAGGGATGGGAGATCCGATCGGGATGGATCTATGGTTTCTCCAATGGTGGGATCGGTGGGCCGCGAAGCTCTCCATCCAAGAACGCTGGATCCCTATGCGGCGGCAACTCCGGTGGGGCCTCTCAGCACTGTGAATCCTTTTTGGAGCACGTCACTTCAACAGGCTGCAAAAGGTGAAGGGCATGTACGTATGGCTGAAAGCAGTGGAAAGAAACCTGCACCTTCCAGTCCCGGAGCTGGCGATGTGGAGAAGATCCGAGCTCAGATCCTGCGGGAGGCGGAGGATAAGTTCGCTCGTGAAGTCAAGAGGTTGACTGATGGTGGAGCACCTGGTGATGCTTCGTCCTATGCCTCGGCCGCGAGCGCTGGTATTGGTGATGGAGGCCGTGCTCTACCTGAACCTCCTGGACTACCTCCTGGTGATCCTGTGGGCGCGGGAGTTCCGCCATGCACCAAACCTGACCTTCCTCCAGGACTTCATGCTGGACGACCTCAAGGTGACTCTACTCAGCCTCCGGTGATTCCGGAAACCGTGAGGAGCTTGGACCTTCCGAGCTTGCCTCATCCCTCAACTGAAGGAGCTGCACTTCAATATGGAGATTGGTTGACTATGACCTATCCGTTGATGGCAGACCTCTCGGCGACTTCTCAGTTGTGGTGGGATGGATGCTTGGCTGCAGCTGGTGAACTCTATGAGAAGTGGCTCACTGCCACTCCTTTGGAGCGCCTTCGCTTGCGCCCTGTGGAGAACATCGACTCTGTCCACCAACGTGTTGAACAGCGTGGTGTATCGCTCCTCCTGAGCATCTTGCCCGACCAGCTTCGAAGAGATGTGATCGCCAACAGGAAGGTCACAACGGTCAGCATCCTTTTTCGACTTCATGTCCTTTTCCAGCCTGGAGGAGGTGCCGAACGAACTACACTGTTGAAGTGTTTGACGGAAGTGAAAACATCCAACAACATCCAGGACCTCTTGGTGACTACAAGGACCTGGCGACGATGGCTCCAGCGAGCAGAAGAGCTTCGTTTGACCCTGCCTGACCCGTTGATTCTCATGCAGGTGTTGGGGCGCATCATGGACTCCCTGTCGAAATTGGGAGGAAGTCAAGTGGCCTACCGGGTGTCTTCGGTGAGGCAGGAATTGCTGGTGGATCTGAGGCCCGAACTTCAGTCCATCAAAGATCTCAGTGAATACTTGCAGGCGGAGATGGAGGACCTGTCGCTTATGGTGGTGGCCCCAAAGACATCGGCTACAACATCATCGACTCCGTCGAGCCAGACCGCTGCACCTGTTGTGAAAGCAATGCACTCAAGCCAAGGCCAAGATGAGAAGCCGAGGTCGCCGTGCAGATTTTGGGGCTCTCAGTCTGGGTGTCGGAGGGGGGGACACGTGTGGCTATGCGCACTCCTGGGATGGACTGGATCGTCAGCAAAGATGTTTCTTCTGTTCAGGAGAAGGTCACATGATGAAAGATTGTCCTCACCGTCAACAGAGGGGCACCAAGGATTTCAAAAAGAATGCCAAGGTGAAAGGCGTTGGTGAGGAGGTGTCGAAGGACAGTCCTCCCAAGGAAACACAATATAGAAATTCTGAGGCTTCGGGAACTACATCGTCTCCGAGTTCATCGCTCTTGTCATCGCCAACGGTGTCTGGAGGTGGATCGGGAAAGAACGGTGGTGGGTCGCCGGAGAAGGAGTTGGGGGGTGACCAAAAGTCAAAGGTTGACTCCGCTTCTGTCCTCCTTGGTGAAGCTACAACTCTCCTCAAGACGCTCAGGACCCTGAAAGCGGTTCGCCTGAAACAGGTCTTTGTGGAGCCCGTGAACACAAGTCTTCAAGGTTTTGCACTCCTTGACGGAGGGGCAACGCATGCCCTCCGAACTGCACACCCTGATGAAAGGAGCGAGATGACTCCCATCGAGGTTGAACTTGCTACAGGTACTACAGTTTTGTATCGCCATCCAAAGCACCGCACCCTTTTGTCCTTGGAGGAGGTGGAGCCGATCATCCCATTGGGGCTTCTGGTTGAACGGGGCTACAAGGTGGAGTGGCGAAAGACGGGTTGCAGTATCCGTCACCCAACACTCGGTGCGATCGACTGCTGGCTTTGATCTGGCTGCCCGATTATGCATCGTCAACCTGCTTTGGACATGCTCTCCCAGATCGAGCTCGAGGATCGGGGGGAGGTGGCACTTTCTGAGGAGGACCGGCAGTGGTGGCAGAAGCATTTTCCTGAACTACCACATCCTGTTCTTCAACACATGGCTGGACAGAGCCAAGATCCAACTACAACGCCCTGGAACCGGAGAATTCGGAGGGCACACCTCACTGGAAAGGGGGTCATTGCACACCTATTCAGTGGTCCTGATGTGAAGAAGTGGAACCGTGTTGGCGGAGGAGCATACTCTTGGCTGTGCGTTGACACGGAGATCAACTCCTCGTTGAACCTGCACAACCCGGCCGTTTGGGGCTATTTGTGGAAGCTGGCGTCTTTGGGACGCATCGTTGCAATTGTTGGAGGTCCTCCCTGCAGGACCGTGAGTCGCCTTCGAAACCGGTCACCACCAGGACCTCGTCGCCTTCGTGGTCGAGGAGAAGATCGCTGGCGCCTCAATGACCTCTCGGAGGAAGAACTTCGCCTGGTTCATGGCGATACAGCTTTGTGCATGAAGCACATGGGTCTATGGATCCGAGCTCAAGAATGCCGCAGAACATCGACGAATGTTGGCATGCTGTTGGAATCACCGCGAGATCCTGCTGAATATCTTGCCGGTGAAGAAGGTGGGCAAAGCGCTTCTTTCTGGTGCTTCCCGGAGCTGATGGCTTGGGTTGGAACTGCTGGCCTTCGCTTGGTCACTTTCGATCAAGGAAAGCTGGGTCACCAGAGGAAAAAACCTACGACAGTTTTGACTAACCTTCCTGCCTTCCAAGAACTACATGGCCTCCAAGGCGATGGTTGTGATGACAGACCACTCCCGTCGAACCTCGGTGACCGCATTCGCACTTCGAAGACCTGGGCAGCATGGGCACCAGGCCTTGTGGGAGCGATTCAAGAAGCTTTGAGGAGGTTGCTTGGCGTTTTGGAGGAGGAAAAGGGGGCTGGAGGTGGTCACCATGTCTCCAAAATGGACCTTGCAGCTTGGCATCGACATATCAAACAGGGTCACATCCCCTTTCGTGCTGACTGCCGCATTTGTGGGGAAGCTATGGGCTGCGACAAACCACACAAGAGGCTTGGGGGGAGCGCCACGAAGTTCACTATGTCAGCCGACCTTTGTGGACCGTTTCCTGAAGGGAAAGATTTGGGCACAGGAGTCATTTGCAAGTACGCACTGGTCTCAACTGTGGCCGTCCCCATCATCTCTGAGCTTCCAGGTGAGGTTGCTGAGCCATGTGACACCGCCAAGGATGTGGAGCACACGGAGGAGATTCCCTGCGAGCCAGAAGACCGTGACCTAGTCCCTGAAGATGAAGTCCGGAGGCTCAATGAAATGGCTGAGATTGAGAAGTCTCAAGAACCGCAAGGACATCAAAATGTCACTCTGGCTGAAGTGATTCCTGATCGCACGGTGGAGTCACTGGTCCGTGCTTTGTCCCGCTTGCACGCCAAGTACCGCATGCTGGGCATCCAGGTCTACAGATTGCACACAGATCGTGAACGATCATTTGCGTCAGCACCAATTCAGAAGTGGTGTGAACAGCGACAGATTCGCTTGACTATGACGGCTGGCGATGACTCCAAGGTCAATGGCCGTGTTGAAGGAGAAGTGAACCAACTCAAGCGCCGCACCAGGTTGTTCCTTCATGATGCTGGACTACCTCACTCCTTCTGGCCAGTTGCCCTTCGCCATGCTGCCGAACAACGTGTTCGACTACAACTTGAACGACTCGGGCTGGAAAGTCCTCCTATGCTTCGCTTCGGAGCATCAGTTTTGGTCAAATCCAAACGATGGCATCGTGCAGGTCAGCTCTCTATGCCATACCGAACTATGCAACTCCTTGGTCCCTGCCCATACATGTCGCATGGCTGGATTGTCCGGGACAAGAAGGGCCAATTGTTGCACGTGCGCACTGCACTTGAACCATCGCCGGTAGCCGATCAGGCGATCATGGAACTCCAAGAGGTGCCTGCTGTGAAGCATCGCATCATTGGAAAACACCCACCTCCACCACCTGACCATCCACTGGCTGGCCGCGTGGGAGCGCTCTATGAGGAGTCGGTTCCAGCTCTAGCAACTTGCAGAGCTGGGGGGGAGGACTCTTTGGATTCTTTGGACTGGTCCTCATCGTTGGATGTTGGCAGGTCGCTTTCACTGGGGCTTGAGCCAAAGGGGGGTGTTGGAGGAGGTGAATGGTGGCCACAAACTACATGATAAAGTTGAACCTGGTGATGAACTTTTGCACCATGACCTTCAGGGGGGAGGTCGAAGATTCACTGCTGTGTGATTGGCAGCAGGTGGAAAAGTGGCATGAGCTTGAACAACAACGACACTGGGCGCTCAAACAGCTTTGGTGTCAAGGCCTTCGTGAAGTTGCAGTTGGTGAAAACTCCGGCAGTGTCCATGGCAGCTGGCTTCATGAAGTTGAACTACTCCTCAAGGGTGCTGAAGATCAACTGTCGTTTCAGCACTCTGCAATCGAGAACTTCAAGCTGTCGGCATTGGCTCCATCAATGGGAACCCCAGATGCTCCAGCAACAGTGCTTCAGACCTATACGGTCTCACTACAGCAAGTTCGCAGGGAATTGGAAAAATGGAAACCTCCTCTGCGTGATGAATATGGACAGCTGGTGTCCTCAACTCAGGCAATCAAGCCTACTACAGAGGAAAAGTTGCGCCTGGATCCAAGATTTCCCACTATGGAGCTGGCTCCAGCGATGCTTGTTCCTACAGTCAAAAGTCCTCATGGACGTCTTCGAGCTCGGGTGGTCATTTGTGGAAACCATCTCACCAAGGTCAATGAAGAGAGCAACAACTCTGCAGGTGAGACTCAGCCCAAGGACTCAAACCCGTTCTCGCTCTATGCAGGTGGAGCAGATGGAACTACGTTGCGCTGCTTGATGAAATGTGCGGCTGAAAACTCGTGGTCAGTCGGCACGGTGGACATCAAAACAGCCTTCCTTCTTGCACCACGACCTGATGAACAAGAACGTCTGCTCGTCGCTCGTCCACCAAAAGTGTTAATTGAAGCTGGAATTTGCGACGCTTCGGAACTCTGGGAGATCTCGCATGCCGTCTACGGGCTGAACGATGCTCCAGCAAACTGGTCGCAGTACCGTGACCGTGAACTACCTCACCTGCGCTTCTCGGCAGGAGGTCATGACTACCAACTGGTGCCCACACCGGAGCCAAACCTTTGGAAGTTGATCAAAACCGACCCTGGTGCTCTTCCGCAGGAGGACAACTCTGAAGGCTTCCTCGCTGTGTACGTTGATGACATGCTTGTTGCTGCACCAGGTCCCTTGGCAAAGTCGGTGATCGATGGGATTCGGGCTCATTGGCGGTGTTCGGAACCAGAGTGGGCATCGGCAGAAAAGGCCATCAAGTTTTGTGGCTTTGAGATCAGCTGCAGCGACGATGCGGTGATCCTCAACCAGGCCTCATACACTCGAGATCTTTTGTCTCGCCATGAAGGCATCAAACCACGTCAAACGCCTCTTCCTTTGGGAGTTCAAGATGAAGTTGAAGCTGATGTGCAAATCTCCCAAGTCCGACGAGCTCAAGCTTTGGTCGGAGAACTTCTTTGGTTGAGTGGCCGCACAAGACCAGATCTTTGCTACGGTGTCTCCATCATGGGACGTTTGGTGACGAAAGCACCGACCAAGGTTCTGGAGTGGGGTGCTCATATGTTGGGCTACTTGCAGCATACAGTGGACTATGAGCTTCGCTACACCAAGCAGGTGGTGGAGTCGTCCCTCGATGATTGCGATGCTGCCAAAAAGCCCTGCCTGAAAGTGTATTCAGATGCTTCTCATGGACCCCAAGGAGGACGAGGACAGCAAGGTCTTTTGGTGACCTACAATGGCTCTCCAGTGCAGTGGGAGAGCAAACAACAACCGTTTGCCACGCTGTCAAGCGCTGAGGCCGAGCTGATGGGCTACGTTGACGGAGTCGTCATCGGAGAGTCAGTCGCCTCAGTGGTCAATGTGTTGGAGGACAATCGTCTTCATCTCCAAGGCCAACAGGTCCTTTGCGGTGATTCTCAAACCGGGTTGAAGATTTTGGTCGCCCCGGATGGACCCTGGAGAACGAGACACCTCCGCTTGAGGGCATTCGTCGTGAAGGAGCGCATTCAGCAGAGCTGCTGGAAAACCCAACATGTTCCAGGGGCCGAACTTGCCTCAGACCTGCTCACCAAACCGATCGTCAACCCGACGCTGTGGCAGAACTTTTACACCTTCATTGGAGCTCGTGTGTTGTCCAAGGATGTTGACCGAGCTCCAGGTGCATCGCTGTCCAAGTCAAGGTTGATGGCTATTCTGGGCGGCATCATTGGCATGGCGGCATGGAACCCTTCGCAAGAAAGTCACAAGGTGGCGAGATGTGTCACCATCTCAGCTTTGGTAGCTGCACTTGCAATTTGGTGGAAAAAAAGACACAAAAGACCCCACAAAGACCAATGGGCACCTGACGGTCGATTCGCGGGCGGGGGCACCCATGGGAAGCGAATCGGTCGAAACAAGAAAGTCAAGATCGGTGAGGGAAAATGAACCCACCGCACGGGAGGGGTTGGGGGGTTGGGACCTAGCCTAAATGGCTATACCTCGGCCGCGTCTCGTGCGTGCGATCATGGCGTGCGGCTGGCTGCGCTTGGGGCTCGCGCTGGACCGGAGCAGCCGGAAGAGCGGATTTGGGAGCGGTTCCCATTCCAGCTCCCTCCGCAAGGTCCACCTCCAGTTGATGACACGCTGGAACCACCCCAACGACGGGCGACTTTGGATTCGGTGGCAGAGAACTCCACTGGCACTCCATCGTCTGAACAGGTGGAATTTCCGACGGCCAATGTGACCTGGGTGAGAACTGAAGTGCATTCGGTGAGGAGGACTTCATCGTCATCGTCCTCTGCACCTTCACAGACCTCTCCCAGCACAAGGTCCAGTGCGACTGGATCTATGGCAGCGGCTCGGGGCTCAGACGCCATTGATGCTGGCGTGACCCTTGGCTACATGGGGCGACTTGGCGGCTTCCTCTCTCGCGGGGAGAACCTGCGATCTGGGCCGGCATCGAGCGCCACAGAAAGTGAAAGTGAAAGGGAAGATTGGAGGAGGAATTTAGATGTGAGCTCAACCAGCTCAGTTCAGGGGCACGAAACGACACTACCTCCTGGACTTCCTCCTCTACACGAACACTTGGATGAGGCGCCACAATGGATGGGCATTGTGAGCCAACTCCCAGTGAGGCCGCGTGGTGTGCCGGGTCAAAGTGACCATTTGAGGGATCCTGATTCGGATTCAGACGGCAGCTATGAAATTTGTGGTTGAAAAACCACTCGAAATGTGGTCGAAGGATCATTTTCTTTTTCCCTAAAGTTTGACCATGCGATGGTCAGGGGGAGTGTGGCAGTTGAAATGGACCACCAACCTCCAAACTTCGTTTGCAGTCAGGTGCACAAAACGAGAAGTGTACTTGAAGCTACTCAGGTGAAACTCGCCATTCGATAAACATCGTTTGGCTCAAGGTTGCGCGGAGAAAAGGATCCGTGCAGCACCACACGACACACCCAACCTTCCCTAGAAAGAATAGAGACGATTCTACCGAAGATGGTTGTAATAGTTTCAGCTGGCATAGCTGTATGAGTGCCACAGATGGACCGTTGAGCAGTTCATCCAAGTTCATCAAAGCCTCAAAACGATTTGGAGAAAACCAGGTTCCAATGGTCACTGTTGGGTCCTTGGCTCAGCTTCCACTGCCCAGGATCCTCATCGAGTTAAAGGAATCAGATGCTGCGTTCCAAAAAAGCTATTGGACGTGGTGGATGAATGGATCTGGGCCTGGGTCATTGAAACCTGAAGATTGCATCATGCAACTAAGCCGTTCATGCCCGTCCTTACCATCCAAAGGTGGTGTTCCTATCTCATGTCCTTGAGAATGGCATTGTCAGAGCTTCTCGAAATTCAGCGGGTTGGTAGATCAGCTAAAGCACTTTCAACAGAGAATCTAGGCCACCCACAATCTGTGGAGGACTCGAGAAGTCCAGCGGAGGCAGTAAGAAGACAAAGGCAATCTTGTCATAGGAGACAATCAACAAGACAGGACATTTGATGTTTTAAGAGCTTTGTCTCATGGTTGTGCCAACAACATAGGTCTCTCCCTCTTGAGTTGGCTTCGTCTCACCATAATGCTGCCGATGTCACCGTGTCATTGGCCTTCGCTTTTCCGAAAGTCCTGCTCCGCAACTGTTGAAGCTCAGTGCGTCTTACTTGTTTGAAGCCACCCTCTTGACAAAGCAAAAATGTTGGCTGCAGCCCCGACATCCGAGCTGGTTTATTGGTGAAAACACCAACAGAATTGTCGATCATCAGAGTTTGTGCACGTCTTCGGAAGTAGAAGGAGTCCTGTCGCCACGGAGCGCCATGGAAGACGCCAAAGTGAGCCGCATTCGAGCTCCGCGGAAGGATTTGCCCCGGACGCTGTGGAGGACACGCCCAAGAGTCTGACAAGACATGGGCAAAAGTCCTTCAAGGTGTCAAAAGCAGCTGACGGTAGCTGTAGCTGAGTGAAACGCCTTGGCTTTTGCGTGGAATTGCCAATGCTGGTGTCTTTGTTTTCCGGTCCAAAGCTACTACCACACCTATGTTTCAGCAACGTTCTAGAAAACCGCAAAGACTCTACAGATTGTGGGACCGTCATGCGATCCTTCCCGGAAAACGTCTCCAGCTCTTTGCCGGGACTGGTTCCACGACTGCCGCAGGACTCCGCAGAAGCGGCTCTTCCTGGCACCGGCCATCGAAGCCACGCTGCGGCAGCGGCAGCAGCTGCAGCCCTTGGCCGCCAAGTCGGTGCCCATGCTGAGGCCGGAGTCGTAGCGATGGTGTGTAAATGGAGGAAAGAAAACGAAAGTGATAGAAAGTGAACGAAAATCAGGGAAAATCAGAGGAGGAATGAAATCGGAGTTGATTTCACAATGTTTCACCTATCCTGCTGGGTGATTTTTGTTGGTCTTTGCATGTCATCTCTGAAGATGGAGAGAAAACTGATGGAAGCAGGGCATCCAGGCTCTTCTGAACGGTTATATGCTGAACTCGCGTGTGACATGTTTTTCACCAGGTTGAACTGAAACTCATGCTTCGCTTCATTCGCTTCTGCTCCGAGGCCCAAGGCCGAGAATGAGGCGCCTTTCAGCTGGATCAGCCAGTGACGGTGAGATGAAATGACGTTTGAGACACATCTCCTACACTGTACACACCTCGAATTGGCCTACTTTCTCGTGCGTTTGCTATTTGGAAGACTCCTCGATGTCTCTTCTAATTACATTTGTCAGAGGGTGTGTGTAGAATGCGTTTGGTCGGCGATGTTTAGCAGCGGGTTCCTCCCACCTCGTTTGAAACACTTTCGTCACTGGTTCAGGCAAACCGCGAGGAGCTTTTCAAGGAGACTCCCTGGATTGTTGTGGATAGTTTCAGGTCGTTGTGCCGGGTTTCTGCCACTAGACCAATAGTCTGCCAATCTGCAATGTTTTTTTGGTTTTCATGGAACATACCGAAGGCAGTTCTTCCGAAATTAGACTGTTCCCAAAACACATCTGGCCATGTTGTTAGTTTGGAGGATACCCTGACGAAGGAGAAGAGCTACGATGCCGAATCTTGGGGTCAGGAGGTGGGAGAGGAGAGAGGAGAGAGCCTGCGGGTCTTGAGGATTTTGCTGCAAATTATTCATCAACTGGTCGGTCTACGGCTTCAAAAGTTCGGACGAGATTTGTCACCATTTGGCCTCCAGGCCTGGTTGAACATCTTGACTGGAGAGAACCGCTGAAGCCTCAGAGAGCTGCAGTTACCATATATCTCATAAGTGCCTTGAAAGCTCAGATGCAGATGTTTTTCTTAGAAAGCTCTCAGAGACCGGTAGAGACAAGAATTCATGCCCAGCACTGATGGTGGCAATGTTTGATAGAAGAAGACGGTGTATGCTTCACACTTGGCATTCACAAAGTTTGGGTAACAGATACCCAGCGCAGATCCATACACAGGAGAGTACAGCACTTAACTTAGCAATATCAGCGCATAAAAAATGCGAAGACTGCAAGTCTTCTACCAGACAGGGTCAACCTAAGGACTTTTAGGTTTGCTAGATGGATCCTTGTTGGGGCAAAACTGGTGGGTCGAGAAACACTCGACGATCCCCCGCAAGCGTCACACCTCGTCGCTGAGGTGTGGAGATTCCGTTCAACGAAATCTCGGCTGCAAGCCATGGCGAGGCACAAAGCGACCGAAGGGAGAAAGAACGCTGAAGGAATTGCTGGTGTGAGTCAGCAACAATGCTTGGATCGAGTCTGAATAGGAAGCTTGATTGAAGTCTGCTTGACTCATTTCAATGTGAAAACAGAACTAAACAAGCTTCGTGGATGAGAACAAACCGAAATCTGCAGGAGTACATCCAATGGTATGAGGATCAGCGTGCTCAGAAACGAGCGGCGGCGCCGCCGAGTAGCTCGTCCAGCAGATGTCGATGCGAGTTTGGGCAATGCATGTTCCCAGCCGCCTTGCAGAATGGGATTGCAACAAACTTGACCATAGGCCTTGTTGTAATTTCTGTTCAATAACCTCTTTGTCCACTTGAGGACTCCCGAACTTTGGTCGGGTCCGATGATGGGATGCCAAGCAGAGTTGAGGTTGAGGCGGTTAATGGTATAGTCAGGACTCCATCCCGTCATCCGGAGCTTCTCTAGCTAAGAGCGTCATCAGGTTGGGTGCAGAGACGAGGACTGAGGGCTGGTGGATTTGCGCGACGACTCTTTAAAGACTCTTTAGAGAAGAATATCAGAGGCTGAAGGGTGTTCTGCCTAATGCTTATGTTTTGAAATGTCGGTTGCAAGTACATGACCGTCACAACATGTCATGGTCGCTTTTTCACTGCGCTGCGCACTGATGCATCAAGTCCTGCTTAATTTGTAGTCGTCGCAGGATCCCTCGCGCCCATGTCCTTTTGGCGCGCCGCTTTGACGGACTTCGCTTTGTCCTCCCTGCAACCAACACCAGGCCAGTCTGTCAGGATCAGCGGATGAGGGGGCAAGGTGCTGCAGTTTCAAGAAGTTCACTATACTAGTATCTAGTACATGAACCGATATGGATGATACCATGATAAGGCAGTGTTAAACATATTTCATGGATTTGTCTTTTTTGTCCAAGGTCTTGGGGGTGCACAGATACGCAGCTGACACAACAGCTTAAGCCCTGTGAGACCTCTACCTGCAGAGAGATCATCCAAAACCACCGCCACCTGAGGAGAACTGCTGCAGCTGAAGGGCCGAGCAGTGCTCCTGCGACATTTGGAGGCCAATGCCACACCACAAGGCGACGACGGGCAAGCGGCATGCCACGTGCGGCAGCATATTCACGGGTGGGGCAGCAATAGAACGGGGTTCAAGTGTAGCAGAAGTTTGTACTTTGTACAGGTCGAGTGGAAAATGTTTGGTGTTTTGAAGGCAGCGTAGTAGTGCTTGAGCCCAGAACTTGTGCTAATAGTCTTTGAGCTATGACGCTGCAGCGCAGACGCATTTGAGGCCTTAAGGCCCTGGCAGAGTGCATCATGCTGCGCTTGGGTGAGGAGCAGAGGCGAGGCGTTGGATTCAGCACTTGGGTCACCAGACGTGGGCTGTTGCGTATGGCGTTTTCAGCTCAGTGTTTTTGTGGTGGTTGGTGGAAAAGCTTCTTGCCTCAAAGGCAGACTGGTCTCACTTCCAAAAAAGGCCTTTCGATTGGCACATGTCTTTGCTACTGGCTTTGCTCATGCAGTTAGGCAGTTTTTTGAGGATCCAAGTTTGGAAGTTTGGGAAGAACGAGCCTTCTGCCAGGGCCTTGCCGATCCTGAAGAAAGGTTTCGGTGACCAGGCCTTGAGCGTAGTGGCATAGCGTCAGCTTGGCGGGATGTGTTGCAGACTGGGAAGGAAATGACATGCAAACAACCCTGGAAAATATGTACATGAAGATTTATAGCCTGGTGTTTGACTTCAATGCTGATGCCTTTCCGGTTTTTCTCGCTGCCAGATGTCGTTGCTGGACTTCGCTGGTTTCTGCGCCGTGCTGGACCTGGACTTGGATCTTCTGCTGGGCTCATCTGCACCGCAGATCTTGGCCCATCTCCTCCCAGGCCACTTGGGCCTCCGGTGCCGTTGTGGATGAAGTTTCGAACGCTTGCGAGGTGAAATCCATTTTTTTGAGTGATGAAAGATGAAAGAAAAGAGACTTTCTTGACCTCAGACCTCCTTCGGCCCTACAAAGCAAGCGGACCAAGTGCGACAAGGCCAAGTGACCATGGACTGCTCCGTGCTGCTTCAGCCGCCCACCGTGCAGCCGGCGGAGCCCACGGGGGACTTCGTGCGTTGCCAGGTTGTGGCCCCACCGGTCAGCGCGAGAGGGAACAGAGAAGTCAATGAGTAAGCTCTCCTTTACTCGCTGTTTTTTGCTTGTGTTCTTTAGATAAATGTAAGTGAGCTTAATAACCTACTAGCAATGGCCTCCACTTGCTTCTGTGGAAGCCTTTGGTTTGCATTGATACTCGGATGGGCATCGTTTGCGTGGACAAAGTCTCATTAGCTGAACCCTTTGAAGTTTTTTGCACTTCCCACTTCTTAGTCTGACAAAACCAACAGTCACAGGTTCTTCATACAAACACGGTTGTTCACCCTGAGACACTCAGGGCAAGTGGTGGCTTTTGGGCCGCTACCTGGGCCTTTTGGCTCTGCAAGGCGTTGAAGGCAGGCTTTTGTCCCTGTCTCCTCCAGTCAGGAAACGGGATATGAAATTCTGAGAGCTCTGAGAATGCAGAGTTTCCTCATCGAGAGAACGTCTGCGAGAAGTGGCTGCCGGTCTAAAATCTGAAGTCAAAGTGGTGCACTGAATTAAGACTTCGTTCGGTGATTGCAAAGAAAAGACAGACCGATGTGTCGTGCCTTGTCGCTCGTGACAAGAACGCTCTTTTGAGCCCTCAAGAAACTAATTACAAAGACGAGATCCTTCTCTAAAGCCTAATTGTGTTCTCGCTCTTTCGAACCCCGACCTTCAGGCAGCGAAAAATCCTGGCAGGACAGGAGTTGGGAGGATCTTCATCCACCATGAGAGTCTAACAACAGCAGCGTTGAAACGACTTCACGTTTGCATGTTCATCACGAATTCCATCATATGAGCTGCCAGAGATCTCGACTTTGATGTATTCCTGTCCTCCTTCTAACCTCTACAATCCAGCACGGGTTTAAAACTCACAAACTCCACGGAATCCTCCAAGAAGATCAGCTCATCCAATCGGGTTTCCTGCATCGGCTTCTGCTGAACGGAGGATTTGAAGCTCCGGATCGAGGCACAGCTGAGACACCTCCAGCGCTGCTTGAAGCCCTTCTTCTTCGGTCTCATCACCAGCCGCCCCGAGGCCAAGCGTGAGGGGGAAGTGCAAAGAAAAGAGCACAGCGGGTTTGGATGTGGAGATTTGATGGAGATCTGGGGCGAGGGACTTTGATAGGTTCGGATTCTGTATTGATTCTGTGGCTGCACTGAGTCATGAGGAATAGAGGTCGCTTGTCCAAGTACTAGAGAGATGTAGCAGCCAGTGTTTCTTCCACCGGCCTTGCCGCCACTTGGAACCCAATCCCAAAGCGATACCCCAAGTAGTCCTCACATGTTATTAGCTTCGGTCCATAAACGCTCCTGCCTCCAGGAACAGCAAGGATCCAAGCTGCTTTCCTTGAGTCTTGGCAGAAGGAATGCTTCAGCGTGTTGGCCATCGCTACTAGGGTGGAGGCCATCGCTACTAGGGATCAGGACGCTACTGTACTATATTCTGATGCTTTAGATCTTCAGTTGATTCAGACAGGAAAGCATTCTGATTACGGTCACATCCGGCAACGAAGAACGGTGGCAGGACAAATCCCACACGAATCTGTGCCCATCGACCGAGGAGCGATTGGACCTCGTTCTTTCGGGACTTGGAGGACGTGGACGCGCGTTGGAGCACCAAAGTGACCGCCCGGAGCCTCAAAAGCACCAGCACGCCCACGCCTCACAGCTGGAGGCTCAAGACCAGAGGGTCTCCGATTGATCGAAATTTGACACATGCATGATCAGTAAGAGATACATGACATATATTGGAATACATCTGGCCCGAAATGGGTCAGGGTAGGAGATCAAGGAACTCCAAATGAGTGTGACAAAAGCCAGCTGGACCTGCTGCAGTCCTTTTGCAGGGCGCTGTGCTTAATCAAGCCTTCGAGAAAGCTTCAGAAGAGGCCTGGTGGCGCAAAATATCGTGGTGGGTTCAGGGTTTGCTGATGCAGCTTTGATACAGGAACAGCAGTGCACTCGCTGATGCACCTTTCTTTTGTGGTATTTCATGCATGTAGGTCTTCATAGGTTTGACGGGGTGCCCGGTATATGCTCAACAACAAGCCCGATCTTTTTTTATGGAGAACATTTGGAGTGCATTTGGAGAAAGCCTGATGTAGGGCCTCAGTATGATGAACATTTGCTCTCAGTGCTTCTTTTAAAGAAGATGATATTGAGCTTTGCCTACTTTGTCAGCCGTTTTCCTTTCATTTAGTTGTGAGCCAGCAGTTTGTATAGATGAAAATCTAAATCTTCACCACCGGAGTGTGCAACAGGGTGGTCTGAGCTTCGAGTCCTTCAAGAACGCTTTGAAGCATTGCGTCGAGGTCATTGAGTCGGAATGCAAGCGGGTTATGTTGTTGGGTGATTTTAAGGCCGCTTTGAGGCGAGGTTGTTGGGTGAGTCAGTGTCTTTTTCGGAGTGCCTGGATCCACTAACTTTAAGCATGTTTCTTCCTTCTGGAACAAGTGCATCGCTGCTAGTAACAAGGGCACTACTACTAGGAGCAAGACGTAGGCTACTAGTAGCTTCTTGTTCTCAGTAGCGATGCACTTGCTACTAGTAGCTTCTAGCTACTAGTAGTGATGCCCTTGTTACTAGTAGCGATGCACTTGTTACTAATAGCTTCTTGTTACTACTAGTAAGGCACTTGTTACTAGTAGCTTCTTCAAAGGCCTATAGGGAAGATGTCCTTGTGCCGAAGCTTGCCAGAGGCCCTTCCCGGATCTTGGGAGGCCTTGGCCACAGTGGCAAGATCTGCCCCTTGGATTTGATCCCAAGCAGCTCTTCCCCCGGCGTGTAGCTTTTCCAGTGAATAATCAGGTAGCTTGGTGAATTTGCGTTTTGACTGAACTCTGCTACTTGCAAGGATGACTCCCTAAAGGCATTGCCTTTCTGACCTCAAACTCTTTATTGCTTCCACTTAAAGGACTATACAAACTCTACAGATCCTGAAGGCTCACAGAGCCAAAACCAAATCGTCGCTGCCCAAGGCGAAGTGAGATGCCGTGACTGGGAAACCCCAAAGGGGTGGACCATCTCAGCAGCTTCAGAGCTGTGAGTTACGGTCAAAGTCGGAATCCGACGAAGGGAATGGAGCCATATGGATCATCAGTTTGCACAGACGGGGCCAGATGGTTTGAGAGCATTCAACTAGCCTCTGACCAAAGAGAAAGGTAGGTTGGAGGACATCGCTATTAGGTTGGAGGCCATTGCTATTTGGTTCCTTTAAAGTGTTCTTCTTAGTCTACATCAGTAGCGGTTTCTCCAAGTCGGTTTCTCCGATGTGACGATTCTAGCAAGTGGTGTCAGCACCTCCGACAGCAGATGCTGCCGTCGTGCTGACGGATGCAGAAAGGAGTGAATCTTCAATGCCAAATTGCTTAGGTCTTTGTTGAGGGAAAAGGAGGCTGTTTTCCTTTTTTAGTTCACAAATCTTCATACAAATGAAAGCCGAAGGTGTCGACTTCGGGCCATTGCCTGTATCGGCCCATGGTCATCACCCTTGAATTTGCTTCCTTTCAAAGTCATCCAGGTGTTTGTAGCTCCGCGCTTCGCAAGTTCCAGCCGCATCCAGCAGCTTTTTGATGAGGTTCTGTTGATTTTCCTACCAATAATTTGTTATCATCCACGAAAGAAGAAGAGCTGGAACCCGCTGGAAAAAGCGAAGGCAAAGAGTTGCGGTCGAGACTTTAGCGCCCAGATGTGATGCGCCTTTGTATATCTACGTAAAAACATAAACATGTGGATTGATGCTACTAGTAAGGCACTTGTTACTAGAAGCGATGCACTTGTTCCTAGTAGCTTCTTTGCTCCGTATATCGCAAAAACATGTGGGCCAAGTGCTGAGGGATGTGTCCGGTGTGCCTTTTCCAGTCGTTGATTGCTTTTCTTTTGACCTCTTGAGGCTAACAGGCTTGGCTTGGCATCTCGGATCAGGGGCTTTTCCTGTATGAATCCTATCATGATGTTCTTCCATCTAAAGACATGTCCAGGAATTGTCAAAGCACACCTACACTTGGGACCATAGCCACCGAGTCATTCCGCGATATGCTGCACACCACGATGCCCCAAAGCCAAGAACGCTTGGTCTAACTGAGTGCCATCATCGTGCGCCATGCCTGTCTTCTCTCATGAAGTCCCAGGCACTGAGGAGCAAAGTCCCGAACTCCAAAAGAAAATTTTCTGACCAAGCCATCACTAGTAGGTTGGAGGCCATTGCTATTAGGTTTCTTTAAAGGCTTCTTTCTTAGTCTAGACCCTTCCAAATCAGACATCGCAGGACGCAGAACGTGGCTGGGGTCCATCTCACCGCGCGTGTGATGGACAGGACTGTGCGCTTGCGGACCGGCGGGACTGCGTGTCGTGGACTCCGAAACCTGTTCTTGCCAGAATTGAGAAGCGTACTTGTTCATAGTAGAAAGAAGAAAGATGAAACAAAACTGAAAATTCCTTAGGGAAATGTGAGTTCAATTAAGAAGGGAATGAACGTTATTTCTTGTCTTTAAGCAAAGAATAGTTCAGGCCAAAACCTGGCACGCCTACCACCCGGGAGCGGAGCACTTGGGGGGGAATTGCGTCTGATCCTAGGAGCCAACGCTTGCCATCTTTGATGAGCAATCAGGTGATCAGGCCTCCCATGAGCCTCACGTTTTGGAACGCATTGGCTATTTCCTTTCATGGACGTCTTTCAGGAAGTCACTCTTTTTTCGGCGTTTCTCGAAGTTGGACCACTCGGTTCTGAAAAGTGTTTTGAAATCCGTCGGAGTTGGGACAGTGACTTTGTGGCGTACCTTCCCGGAGTTTGCTTATTCTTTTGAAGTGGAGGCCGCTATTAGATGGGAGGCTTGGGTTTGTTCTTTTTGGGGATGTCAGTTTCGCCAGGTGAAGACGTCGTACGAGAACTTTCAGAACGCGCGTCGCAAGTTCTCCAACAAGCCCTTCCTCGGCCACAGGCCGTTTGGATGCTAAAGAGTCTCTTTTGTAGAGCAATTGCAAGTAGCTCTGAATCCGAAGATGCCTGATCAGAAAGATGTGTTTTTCGAAAAAGCAAAGATCAAGACAATCGACTCATGATGTCTCTATCATTCTTCCAATCAGAATGAGTCCAATTCTTCGACTGCATCTCCCCGTCCGTCGATGTGCTTCTCCGAGGCCCATTGCTTCGGACGGCAGCGCTGGGCCGTACGTGGGGAGACCCAGCTCAGAGCTTCCCACGATCCTCCGGAGTCTTCGCAGAGTCTAATGAGTCTTCTTGCTACTAGTAGCGATTGTTGCACCTTCCTGATTGAAAGTTAAGGGCAAGTTTTGTGCCTTCCACTTAGGTCTGGAGCACATTTGAAGAAGTGGGGAAAAGGCCGGCCGGGCTTCCAGTGGTTACAGCAGACCGGCAGTGCTCATGGAGTGTTTTCTTCGAATCACTTTCCATGTGGTCCTGCTACACCGTTGTGAGTTGTTTCTAGTAGCGTCCTTGCTCCTAGTAAGGCCAGGAGCCCCTAGTAGCGCTCCTGCTCCTACCCCGCGCGCGCGCGCGAAAAGGTCCTAGTAGATTCCTTTGCTAGTAATTACAATTCTAATTAGATTCTTATTGTTACTAGTAGTAAGGCATTTGTTTCTACTAGCTTCTTGTTACTAGTAGTAAGGCCCTTGCTCCTAGTAGTAAGGCCAGGAGCCCCTACGATGTCATTCCGACCATGTCGTTGATCGGCCGCACACGTCCAACCTGCTCGACTCCTCAGGGCCGAGAACTTTGGATCTGGCTTGTTGAACTTGGGCCTTTGCCCTCGCCCAAGAGTCGACGCTTTTCTTTTCGGAGAGGGAGGGTTCAAAGTGCGAGGAGGATAATAGATATATATGGGTAAGCTAGGCAGTCGCAAGGAAGCTACTGGAAGCAACCTTGGCTACTCTTGGGTTCCTTTCTGTTGAGGAAGGATGAAATGAAAAAAGACACTTTTCTTTGGATTTCCACAAAAATCAGCATCTTCCAAGCATTTTTGAGGAGCCCAGCTGTCACCGAGGTCCCAGTCGGCCAGACCCGGAAGTGCGAGATCGGGGCATGTTGGGGTGCGCTTCTCGTGATTTCGTTTTGGACACTCTTTGGGGACTCTTTACCTGAGAAGCTTTGTGAACAAACTTGGAGACCCTTGCTATTAGGTTGGAGGCCATTGGTTAGTAGGTTGAACAAAATGTCATTCTGTCTTCACCGAAAGGGTATCGGTTCAATTGGCGCCAGGATCTATGCGAAGAATCGGCCTGAATGGGCCGGGGGGGCTGAATCGTTGAGCTAGGCGTAGTCCCAATTCGGGTGGAAACGCTCCGGATACTCGGAACAACAACCTCAGTGGCCACCGAACCCTTGTGACTCACAAGGGGGTGGAAGCCCATTGATGAGAAGAGAATGCTTTCTTGTTCGGAAAGGGCATTCCTGTTTCCACTTGATAGCAGCGTCCAAGATCTGTGGCCAGCAGTGTGTTTGCCTTGCAAATGAGTTTTTGAAATTGTGTTTGTTTCGTTCAGATCAGCGAGAGGGTTCAACCCATTGTCGGACTGAATAGCATTGTAGCTCAGAAGGTTCCAATCTGCAGTGCCTCGCACTGGACTTTGTGGTAGATGGTGTGTTTTAAACAAGTCTCCTGTGTCCTGTCCTTCTGCAGGTGTTCAGTCTGAGGTTTCTAGCTTCTTGTTACTAGTAGTAAGGCACTTGTTACTAGAAGCGATGCACTTGTTCCTAGTAGCTTCTAGAAGTGCATGACCAAAAGGAGTCTTGTTGCTGAAGCCAGTAGTGAGAGCGCAGACTTTGGCGGTTGACGAGAGTTTTCTCCTTCTTTTGTGACGAGGTGATCGCTGAGCAAGGATGCTTCACACAGGCGCAAACCACAGGATGTACTTTTTCAAAAAGACACTGAGAAAGGAGGGACCAGCAGTCGCCGTCGGTTTAGAGGGACGTTTCTCATAAGAACACCTTCCAGCTATTTCCTGCACAAGAATCAGGTAGCCAAGCCTTTTCCTGTAGCCACTAGGAACAAGAAGCTACTAGGGGCTCCTGGCCTTACTACTAGGAGCAAGGATGGTACTAGGGGCTCCTGGCATCGCTACTAGGAACAAGAAGCCTACAGTCAACCTGAGAATGTCCTCAGACTCTCGACTCAGAAACTTCGATAAGTTCAGATGTCTGGGGTGAGGAGTTCTTGAGTGTTCTTATTTGTTGTAAGTAGGCGTCTACTTAATTAAGTAAGGGAGAGGCAGCTAGTACCTTACTAGTATGGACGCAGGATAGCTCACACTTCTTCAATGAAGCTCCCCCCCGCCGCCCTAAAGGGAGCTTCCTTGAAGAAGCGCTCGCACTCATGATTTGGCTCCTAGACTTTTAGGGAAACTTGGACCATAGGAGTTTAAACTTAACTAGTAGCATGAAGCTACTAAGGGCTCCTGACCTTACTACTAGGAGCAAGGACGCTACTAGGGGCCCCTGGAGTAACAAGAAGCTACTAGTTACTAGAAGCTACTAGGAACAAGTGCATCGCTACTAGTAACAAGTGCCTTACTAGTAGTAACAAGAAGTTATTAGAAGTAAATTACATCTAAATTAAATTAATAGCTTTTTCTTACTACTAGTAAGGCACTTGTGACTACTAGTAAGGCACTTGTGACTACTAGTTCATTTACAACAGCTGATGGTCAGTCCATCGTCACGGTTCCCATGTACGACACTTTGGGTGCTGAGAGCCCGTGGCCTCGGAGCGACTCGCCGCGCCCGCCCCACGCGCCCCCCCGACGTCGCTGAGGTCGTTGACACCAAGACTTTGCGGAAAGTCTTGTTCCTAGTAACGTTCTTGTTACTACTAGTAAGGCACTTGTTACTAGTAGCGATGCACTTGTTCCTAGTAGCGTATTGTTCCTACTAACTTTCTTGTTCCTAGTAGTACGGCCAGGAGCCCCTAGTAGCGTCCTTGCTCCTAGTAGCGATGCCAGGAGCCCCTAGTAGCTTCTTGCTACTACCAAAACAGATACTTCTCGATTTAGACGATTTTTTCGATTAAGGTTTTTATTCTGGCGCGTCAATGGATCGTGAATGAACTCTTCTCGAATTGTACCCCGTAGCCGTTCCCCCAAAGACGACCAAAATGACACGTCGACAATCAGTCCCCTTGAGGCGTTGCCTATGTGGTCAAGCAGTGCAATTTGAAGACTGTGGTGTGCTCCGCATAGACCTGAGACCATCTTTTCCGGAGAACTTGTGACCAGGACCTGGACCTTTTCCGGAGGAAGCAATTTGACTTCGGATTTGACTTCGAAAAAGAGTTGCACAGCTCCAAAGAGGCTAGGGTGGAGGCCATCGCTTCTGTGTTCCAAAACGGTGGACCGGTGAGATCAAGGCCGAGACCGCCAAGTCCGCCATCAACTGCAAAGCGTGCTGCCCAAGTCTGGAGTGTTTGCGCCTCAAATCGGTCCGTGCACGGATTTCGGTCCTTGCAAAGAAGCTAGTAGTAACAAGTGCATCGCTACTAGGAACAAGTGCCTTACTAGTAGTAACAAGAAGCAAACACTCTTGAGATCCAAATGGCATCTCACGTCTTCCATATGTTTGGGGCTGGTTCAGCAACTCTTTCAACCGAGACTGTTGAGTGTGTTTGCCATTTCAGCCGTTTTGGTGCTTTTTTTGGAAACCGGACCAAGTAGCTGCGCACACGTTTCCTCATTCCACGTCATCGGCCAGGTTTGATTCTCATGGACGTCTCCGAGGATCTCCGGAGCCAGGTGACGGCCGCAGGGCTCCGCGTGTTCAGCGTGGAGGAGGCGCAGAGGAAGAAACAGAAAGGGAAATGCTGCAAGGAACCTGGATGTTTGTTTTAGCAGGCTCCTACTTATTTAAGTAAGGGAGAAGTTCCCTCCTATCTACTGGGACGCTACGACATATAGACGCAGAACAGCTTCTAGTGATTTGGTTCCTAGACTTTTTGGGAAACTTAACGTGTTGTCGTTTCCAGTCATTGGCCCAAGAAACGTAGCGGAATCTTTGGTACAAGTTTCTTTGTTCCAGCCTCCAACCCAGTAGCGTCCTTGCTACTCTACTAGTAGCGATGCCAGGAGCTACTAGTAGCTTCTTGTTACTAGTAGTAAGGCCAGGAGCTACTAGTAGCGTCCTTGCTACCAGCTTCTTGCGGTATTTATTTGCTCTCTTCTTCCTTGTTCAATCCATAGGTGGAGAAGGAGGGAGCTGCAAAGCCTCGACCACACTTGGCACCGCTTCCAGAGGATGTGAAATAGACTGTGTGTGTGTGAACCACCGTGATGTCTTTTAGGTTTGCTAACCTTTTTGCCAATTGCTTTGCATGCTTTGCTCATGTCTTGAAGCGCGTTCAGTATGCCTTTAGTTGCTTCTTTGGCAAATTCTTTGGCAAATTGAGCAACATCAGGACATTCTCACCTTCTGCTACACCTCGGGCACTACTGGAGATCCCAAGGGTGTGCTCGTCACGCCCGGAAGCCCACGTGTCCAGAATGTATATTGGTGAAGAGTCGTGAGGAAGAAGCGGTCAACACCTAAGATCACATGTTAGCAATGGCCTCCAACCTAGTAGCAATGGCCCTCAACCTGAGAGCGATGGCCTCCCACCTAAGAGTGATGGCCTCCAACCTAGTAGCGATGGCCCTCAACCGAAGAGCGATGGCCTCCCACCTAAGGCCTCCAACCTAAGAGCGATGGCCTCCAACCTAGTAGCGATGGCCTCTAACCTGATGGCAATGGCCTCCAACGTAGTAGCGATGGCCCTCAACCTGAGCCTCCCACCTAAGAGCGATGGCCTCCAACCAAGTAGCGATGGCCCTCAACCTAAGAGCGATGGCGCAATGGCCTCCAACGTAGTAGCGATGGCCCTCAACCTGAGAGCGAT